CCTGATTTTTTTCCTTTTTTTTTTTCCTTCTTGTCATGGTGATGTGCATAGGTTTAAAAGGAGTGTAGCCTGGTTTATGCAGACTGAATAGAACCTTCCCAGATGTTTCGCTCACACCAGGTCTGACAACCTCTTTTGTAAGAGGGTAACAACCACATAATGAAATAGTGTAACAAGGTACCTAGGTCACTTTAAGTCTTGCTAGGCTGTTGTTGGTGATACACAAGTTAATACACTTTGGCTGTTTGTTTTCACATCTGCAGTATATAAAAAGGACTGGTACATAAGTATAGGTAGCTGAAAAGCTAACTCAAAACTTAGCAGCTCAGTAAAAGATGCTTCTTGTTAAAAGCGGTATAGGTGTTTGTGAAATGTTAAATGAGAAGATTTAATGTTGTAAAGCACAGGAATGCATATTCTGAATGAAAGTAATTCTAGCTTCAATATTGATCCAGTTACATGTGATGGCTTTTTTTGGTTTTCTTTGGGTTTTTTGGCATTTATGCTTTATTTGCTGCTACCCTGACATTAGTTGTCTATTAGTAAAAGTATTATTCTGTTCTGAGGCTGGTATGTGTCTAGATGCACAGCCCTAGTTGCATTCATTTTAGTTATGGAGCATTAATGGCTGACAGTAACTAAGCCAACTTTTCCACTGCACTACTTAGGCCTTCTTTGTTGTGAATAAAAAAAAAAAGGTGTAGTAGGAATGCTGTTGACTACTTCTTGCAGTATTTTTTGGTATGCCTTGAGTTACAGATCTTAACCCTCTTTCCTAAAGAACTGCTACCATGTTAATTTGGCAGCTGTTACAGAGAAATGGACATCCAATAAGTAGTCAAGCTTGTAATAAGTGAGGGTGGACATGTTTTGCACCTCTAAGTCCCCTCTAGTACCTCTCAATCAGCAATAATACCACAAATGTGAAATCTAATAATATAAGTAAGAGTCATGTTGAACAAGAGACCAGTATAAATCCAGGACCAGTATGGGAATACTTAATATTTTAACTTTAAAATGTTGACTGCAAAAATTCTAATACCTGTCAGGCATGAGACTTGAACTGCATTTTCCTATAGGGTTGCCTAAATGCCAAGTGAAAGGTCATTCGGTTTAATATTTCTGCTCTTGGTGACCTTAGCTGATGGAGTGCACTTGCAGAAATGCAAGCTTACTTTGGATCTGGTTTTGTGTAATGACATGGAAGACTTGCCATTCGTCTTAAAATAGTGTACACTGTGGCAGTAGGAGTCTGCTCTTTAATTTCTGTAGCTGCAGTTTCTGGTTAGTGATGAAGTAGGCGTTTGAAACCTTTCAGGATCTGTTGGTTCCTCTTCAGTACTTCGGTAATGGAAAAAATAGCCTACTGTTTAAAACTTGGATGCAGTCATTATCATGTTAATGGTCATTATTGGCAGGCATGTATTAACTGAGGTGATTTGTGTCGTACAGAACAGAGATAACTACATCCGCTCTTGTAAATTGCTGCCTGATGGATGCACCCTAATAGTTGGTGGGGAAGCCAGCACATTATCCATATGGGACCTGGCAGCACCAACTCCTCGTATAAAAGCAGAGCTGACATCCTCAGCCCCTGCCTGCTACGCTCTCGCTATCAGCCCTGATTCCAAGGTCTGCTTTTCCTGCTGCAGTGATGGAAACATCGCAGTGTGGGATCTGCACAATCAGACGTTGGTCAGGTGAGTCATTGTTTACAGAAAATTTTAATAGAAGTTACTTTTTGGACAGCTACATAAATATTTATCTCCCTGAATAGTGGTTCATGACAGCAAAGTAAATAGTATTTCTTATCCAAAGAATGCAGTTTGCACCCCAGTTGAGCAGAAACTAGTTTTGGTAGCTTCAACCTAGTCTTGGAAGATGCACTTTCAAAGCCTAAAGGGTTGGTCCATAGCCTACTGAAGGCAGTGTAAGAGTTGCTGTTGGTTTCAGTTAGTTGGGATTTGTTAAGTATTTGTTACTTGTTAAGTAACAGAATTTTCAGTTCATATTTAGTGATGGTAATCACTAAAAAAAAGTAAAATTAATCTTAAAAAAAGTAAAATTAATCTTAAAAAGCAGTTGAAAGTGTGGATTCCCTCACCTCTTTAGGAAAGCATGAAGGACTGATGTTTGGTCATTCATGAAAGATATTTGAGATTTGGATGGAATTTGATCTCTAAAACTTGTAGAATGGGTTACTATGTAAACAATAAATGGATTGCTATGTAAATTACTTGAAAAATTTTTTGTTAGTTCCTTTATCAATGAATATATTAGTAGATGATTAAAATGTCTGGCAGGTCAGCATTAGTGCTGTGACAGAGACAGTAAGATATGTGATGGCTCTCAGCAACTAGCTATGTGGTTTACTAGAAGGTAGATTTTGGTTTATGCTTACTAAAGCAGTGGTGGCTTACAATTTTGAGAATAGAGAGCCTAAATTGAGAGAAGTCATATTATAAGAAAGTTGTGAACGCAAACACTGAAGAATCTTAGTCTGCTGTGTTTCAATTAAATTTCCTGTATATCATTAATTAGCCTAAACTGATGTGTAGATAGTCATATTAATGTGCATGCAGTTTTACTTTCTGTTGAACTTTTAGGTCAATAAAGATGATTTTAATTATGTAAAATATATGCCTGCTTATTCTTCGAAGGTGCAGTGTCTCTATATATAACTGTGTTGCCTTTTGAATGTTTGCTGTAGGTGTTCCCACCACTTGCTGGCTGATCTTGCTAATTGATAACACATGGAATTTTTGAGACCAGAGCTACAAAACAAAATGTGCTGTGTGACCTCTCTGTGACAGCTTTTAGCGATTCATACCCTTCATTCCCAAGCTAGTTGTCATTCCCCAACCCCTGCCCTTCACTTTTCACATTGAGATGTAGGGTTTTCCTAAAGCTAATTGCTGATGAAAAATGCAGGAGCCTCAGAAGGCTTTTGCCAAAGGATTAAGGAAAACTTGAGGTGCCCCTCTGGTCGCTAAAAGCTGAGAATTACTGATGAGAAGATTTTAAGCTGAACTGCACCATTTAGACTTCTGTGATCTGCTGCCCAGAGATTGCAACTTTGCTGACTCAGCAATGCTTGTGTTTAACTATTTGGATTGCTATCTGAATCCCTTTCTATTAATATCTCTACTTATTATTTAGTATCTTGACTTGCAGCCAAAGAAAAATACAGAAGCTGTTTTCTGAAACTGGAGTTTTGTTCCCTTAGCATGTGTTTTAATCTGAGCTGTCCTTAGTGTTTTTAACTATAGTTACTGTACTTCAGTGTTCTCACAAGCTTTTTTTCTTTTCAGAGCCTGATAGGGAATATTTGAGTTTTTCAGCTAGCAGTGGTGCAGGTCATATCTCTAGCACCTGGAAAATGTTTTTCTAATACTGTTGTATTTCATGCTCAGTGAGAGGGAGGGGCTGATTTTTGCCCATCAGCAGACACACAGAAGAGATGACACACACATACAGAGTCCAAAACTAACACCACAACAGTGTTTACCTTGAGCTCTGGCAGGAAATCATTATTCAATCTGGTTTGTTTTATCAGGCAATTCCAGGGCCACACAGACGGAGCCAGCTGTATTGACATTTCTAATGATGGTACCAAGCTCTGGACAGGAGGTTTGGATAACACTGTCAGATCCTGGGACTTGAGAGAGGGGAGACAGCTACAACAGCATGACTTCACATCGCAGGTAATAGGGTTTTCCTACAGCTTCGGGCAGTAGGAGGGAAATATTTAGGATGAAGGCTGAGATTAAGCCCAGTGCAACTGAAAGATTGTTGCCTCTCTCCCTCTTGGCTGCTCACAACACAGTATTTTAGAGCTTTCATATGTGAATTTTCCAGAACAAAATGATAGCCAGACATTACTATCTTCTGGTTTTTTTAAGCTAATAGGTAAGAACGGTGGTAATTTAGTCACTAACTGAACTTTATTGACCCTTCTGTCTCTCTCTGTCCTTCTCCCCATTAATTAAACTGATGAAATCAAAATATAAGTGTAAATGTGGTTTAATTTTCAGATATTTTCCCTTGGTTATTGTCCTACTGGTGAATGGCTAGCTGTGGGAATGGAGAGCAGCAATGTAGAAGTGCTACATGTAAATAAACCAGACAAATATCAACTGCACCTTCATGAGAGTTGCGTATTGTCACTCAAGTTTGCTTACTGTGGTAAGTTGCCCTGAAAACAGAACTGTTGGTCAGGGCTCTGATTCATGCTTTGCTGATTAGGTATTACACAGTCACAGCTCAATTGATAATAAAAACTTAGTTAGTGTCTCAGTTTCTTAAGTTACGAATAAGTGTTTGCTTTATGAATTCAAACATACTTGTCTGCAGCCAACCATTACTTTGCCTAAAGGCTGCTGTGAGGGTTCATCTGTAGTAAAAAGCTATTTCTGCTTACTGAGTCTCAGGATTTCCTAGTGTGTAACACACTACAAAAGCATGTGTCCACATTGATTGTAAGCCAAAGTACTGTGTTGATCAGTGGTGAGAGCTTTACTTAACAGATTTTATAGGTGTGACTTGAAACCACAAAATCTCAGACGTCGTTTTTCATGGTCCTTCTGTTTTATATTCTAGGTAAATGGTTTGTGAGTACTGGGAAAGATAACCTTCTTAATGCATGGAGGACTCCTTACGGAGCCAGTATCTTCCAGGTGAGAATAATGATGCTTTTAAAGAAAAAACTAGAACACCCAGACTCCCGAAAGTAGACTCATATATCTACATCTATGTGATCTACCCAAAATGGGATGCTGAGATGAGGGTAACAGACTTCTTTTAAATGATGTAATATTATTTCTATTTTTCTTCTAGTCCAAAGAATCTTCGTCAGTGCTTAGCTGTGACATCTCTGTGGATGATAAGTACATAGTCACTGGCTCTGGAGACAAAAAGGCTACAGTCTATGAAGTTATCTACTGAAAAATATGATGGGGATATAACTTTTAGAAGTTGAACTGGGCCAAAATTGTTCTTAATTGTAGAAGTAGAAAGGTTTTGCCTTTTAAAAAGGAACAAAAGTATTGAGGTTCCAGACCTTTCCATGAAACTACTCACGATTTTTCAAAATAGAAGGCAACATCCAGCAACTAAATATTGGCTACGTGGACCAAACAGAACACAGAGGCAAGATGGACAGATGTAGCCTAGGTTTTTGACATAGTTTTAAAAGCTGAGTCTACTGAAGAATGTTGGAGCCTTTTATTTTTTTTCTTTCTTTGTGACCTCATGCAAATTGTTCTCATTGCCTGAATATGGGGGATAAATACCTTTCTGTTCCTTGGAGTTCAAGTTGCATTCTGTCCTGTGTAGAGCAGTGGTGTCTCAGATGAACTTATTTCCTGGTTTTGCATCTTGTGATATGTTTTTGTATTTTTGTTCAAGGTCAAACATTTGTATAAATTGTAAATATCTTTAGTTTTATTACAGTAAAGGCTTTAGTATCAACAACCAGTCTTCCCCCTCCCC